GAAAACAGCATAAAACACGGTTTGCTTATACGCAGCGCAGACAGTTTGGTTAGTCGGATAATTAACTAGTGCCGATGTTTCGGTCCGTTTATTACGGGTTTTCTTCAAGGTACAGAATTGGGTTAGCTTCGGAGGTTCTTTTGTTCTCTTCTCAGCTAACGTTTGCGGCCTTCCTATATCTTGAAGAACAGTCAAGAGACCTGAACAAAACCTCAGTGTTGGTCAGTCATTCCATTGACCGTATTGTTTGCATTTGCGTTTGCGTCGTGTATAAATATACTGTTTTATGCAGTTTTCGTTATGATCATCAACGCAGTAACCAAATATTCAATCTTCGGATGCATAAGATAGACATAATGCATTTTTTTCATCATGTCAGCCCCTCTTATTAGCGTTGATGGTCAGTTTTGAAGCGAAAGTTCTGCTGTTTATTGCGCGTCTTTTCATTTATTTGTATCGCAACCTTCGGGACATGACAAAGCAGAAGTCTCTTAAGAAGAAAACTGCCTAGTTATATGTTTTTTCATTGCACTGTTCCTCGTTAATAGACTTTTGCACCTCGTAGTGTGTCATCTATAACCTGAATTTCGACCTATCCGTAGGGATGCGTATCAGGCCGAAGTATGGGGTAGTATGATACTTTTCTCTAGTCGTGAAGATTGCCATGAACCAAGATGCGGTTGGCTTAAGGAACACAGTATTATGGAGTGTGCCTATGAGCCAGGTCTGTCTAGTGCATAGTCACTTCAGTTAAGGCGATAGACGCGGAAGGATTGGGAGATCAACGTGCGTATTAATTTCCAAAGAAAAGATGATGAATCATTTGAATGGAAGATGACGACTCGTGGGCTAAACGGAAGAAAATTCGTTGAAAGATTTGTCTACTGCACAGTGTTCCCATAAGAAATAGAAATTGGCAAACAGTTGCCACAAAACCGGAATCCATATCTTAACGAATCTCCGCTGAACTTAGTTTCCTATGGGGCCAGTTGAGTAGGCCACAGCTAAACGATATTTAAGCACCTGCAGTGTTAGATACATCACCAGTACTTTATTCAGTATCACTAGTGTTTTTGAGAAAGAAGTTGTTCCTGTTTGACGAACTGTTTGAGCTCACTATGACTCGTGCGTTTCCCATTTGGGATAGGAAAAGAAGCCGCCTTTGATTAGCCAGTACGGCATATATGAACAGGATGCAGACAGACAGATCTGCATTACGAGAGAAGTTGTTGTTTCTGCCCAGTAGAAGACTGCCCAGTAGAAAAATGTACAAAACTTCTAAATACGGCCGACAGCTGACCTTTCTCTTATTTTCTCCTTTACAGTAGTTTGCCCTCTTCCTTGGCAAGGAGGCGTAAGGCTGTTACTGTTCAGGGCTGTCAGACGGTTTTCCTTTCCATCTCTGAGCCGGCGGATGGTTTACCGGCTTGTTTGCTGCCTGAAAATTCGATTCCAGCACCTCATCGTACTTTTCCCAGAAACCGGCTTCCGCTTTGGCCGCTGCTTTCATCATTATAGCACATCAGATGAGATTTCACGGGGACGATACCGCCTTTCATGCCAGTATATGTTAATATGCAGAACTTTACGGAAACAGTTTAAAACACTGCGAGTAGAAAATGCTTTGATTCCGTGGTTGGAGCCATTAAAAGCGATAGAAAAATGATTTATTCAGGGAACGGTTTTTCAGATAATTCCGAGTGACTCTGAATCTAGGCAGGCAAGCGGTGTTGTCTGTAAGTAGTCGTAACCGTTGGTTCTACGTTATTACAACTTTAAGCAGTTTACATCAGTGATGTAATCGTTTTCTTCAGTACTTTTCGACAGATATGTTTGCATGATACTTCGATGCCTTGGAGCAAATTTCGGACGCATGCTAAGCTTTTCTCAATTTCTTTGCTCTACCAGAGCTTAAGCTCAGACATCGACTACGCTGTTCACATGAATCGTTTTGAAATGTTTCTGCTTTTGTCTGCGGTCATGAAATTAAAAGATTTTTTATTGTCGACTATTGTTTCTCCAAGCACTGGATCGGCAATAAATACAAAATTGCGGTTGCAAGTATGTCAGTTGCGCTTGTGTCCCATATACTTTCGCTACGAAATGTGAAATATTAATTACAACTCATTTTTAAACTGATTCTGATCCGTCGCATATCTTTAATTGATGCCGCGTTAGAAGGCCTAATATTCTGATTTACGGTTAATTTTTTTGCAAATTTAAGGCGTAGCCACTAAGTTGCTGTTAAGATGAAATAAGTGGAAAACGAAGCCGTTGGTCATTGCCGCAGACAGCACGGCTAGTAATTCGTGTACGCAGATCAACGATCAGCTGCCCTTTTTCTCTGTTGAATGCACCGAATTACAGAGGAGCGAATTCCTTGCTCAAAGAAATTAGCTATTTATGAGAGAAATCAGCTATTTAATTTTGCTGCGCGTATGGTTCAAGCCCGGCACCAATAAAGCGCAACGGAAACTTTGGTATTGTCCAGTATCCGTTGGACGGAATGAATTGCCACTAACCGTTATCTGGTTCTGATTGTTTCTTTAGTTCCTAGTGAGACGTTACTCCGGGGATCCGTCGAATTCACGAAATATTTTAAAAAACTCGTAAAGAACAAATTGGATTAGGCTTCTGCTGGCGTTCTTTGCTGATTTCTCATCAGCTAACATGCTTACTTACTCATTAGATATCGTTGTATGTTTTGCTTGCAAAGGAAAACTTTTCAGTTCTTCTAGTTCTTGTTTTTTTAAACGTTCTGTCGCTTCTTTTTCTATTCTTCTTCTTATGATTTTTTGGAAAGACTGTTTGAAATCACAATGGTGGATATAATTGAACGTATCATTCTTCTCTCTGAACCGGTAGAACTGACGATATATTTTTTTGTTTTCTTGTTCTTTTCCTTCGGTTGCATCGAAGGTGACGCCGTGGACCGTTCTACCGGGATCGAATAAATGCGTATTCATTCTTCAGTCCTTTTGATGTCATGTCAGTTCTAATGAAATCTTCCAATCTTATTGAAGATCTTCTTTGCGGCTGTCTCTCATCAGGCTCTGTATTCAATATCCGCTTCGTGAGACAGCTGTTGTCCATTCGTTGGCAGCAGCCCCACCATTTTAAATGTCTTGTTTGCATTCCGTCAGTGACTTCAGTCAGATATTCTAATCTCTCTCACTCTCTTTTAGAACTCCATTTCACGCCAGATGGTACTACTTCACTCCTAATATTCATCGTTAATTCTTTATTTCCACCGTTTCCAGTTTTCAGTTTTCAGCTTTCTTAAGTGCAACCGTCTCCAAGCCATGGAGAAGGATGTTCAGAATGCGAGTCACGTATATGTGCAACTTCTTGCTGTTGCGAACAACTTTATCTTTTCAGATCTTGAACAACTTATTGCAGGCTGCTTGTGCCAACGCAGTCTGCTTCTTAACTTCGTCTGAAGTCAAAGTATTAATTCCCACGATACCGATGTTCAGGTATTTTTTCCACAAGTTCGGTGTCACACATACATTGATTTAAATTCTGCGCAATTCCGACCACTTCCTCCTCTTTAAGTGAAGTTCATCGAGGTGCACATCAGAATATCTGTTTCAGAGTTAGGAACAGTGACTAGCAGCTTCGAGATTGTGTCTGCAGACAACACAATATCATGCGAAAATTCTAGAGATTTTTAGAGATCATACCCAAACGTTGCCCACTCTTACCGCCGTAACTTCACTCTCTCGTAGCATCGCAAACATCAGTGGAGATTATACACCTGCTTGTCTTACTCCGTACTTTGTACGAGAGAATTAGTCGAAGATGCCGTTGAACTACACTTCATGAATGAACATAAGTCGTTTTAACTATACGAATTATCCTTTGTGGAATTCCATATTGTCAATTTTCCACTTCTTTTCTGTCAAGCTGTTTTGTAAAATCAACGAATATTGAGAAGAATGTGGATTCTCATTCTCTTCTTTTTCATTGTGAATATCTGGTTTAGACATCATGGGCCTGCATTGATTCAAGACCTCTCTTCACCCAAGATCTTCTCCAGATGTTGTTAGTCATGTTCACCATAACACGCCTGAACACTTTGGCAAGAGTAGTTAGATAACTTATGAATAGTAACTCCGCCTTTGCCGGTGTCAAGACCGCCTAAGAAAGGAGGATAGCTC